TGAGAAGCCCCAGTCTGCGACAGTGCTTGGCACACAGAATATTTGGTGAGCGCCGAGACAAAGGTCATGGTAGGAGGCAGAGCCAAGTGGCAGTGTCCTGGGAGTGTGACAGGCTCTCAGTTAGCAGTGAGGGCTAGGGACAGTGTGGGTCTGTAGTGGAGGCCGTTGACCTGGTTTTGTGGCTTAATCCACATAGTCTGGTACCTGCGAGGGATAACAGTGTCTTGCCATGGGATGGTAGTAGAAGGGTGCGGGATGAAGGAATCAAGAGAGCTGATGAGCACATTGCAGAAAATGTTGGTCAAGGAGCCCACAGGCAGGTGAGTGAGGCTTCCAGTTTTCATGAATCTGTGGATTTAGGAGGCTGGAGGACAGGATGAGGACCCAAAACGACTTCGGAGGTGCAAGGGAGTGGGTGGTCTAGGAAGATAGGAGGTGAAGGTCAAAAGAGAGAATGTCTGAACTTAGGCTCCTGGAAGTAGCCATCTGAGATGTGGTAAGTGAGGCAGCGTAGTTTTCTTTTTTTTTTTTTTTTTTGCGGTACCGGGGATCAAACTCACGACCTTGCGCTTGCCAGGCAGGCGCTTATGCCACTAAGCTACATCCCCAGCCCTGAGGCAGCGTAGTTTTGAATAAGCACTTACTTAGAGCCTTTGCTGCTTTACGGGCCAGTTTCAGTCTGATATCAGACTGGACTGGGCCAGATGGATTAGGAGACAGCCGTGTGCCTTTTCAGAAGCATTAGCCCCAGGTGTTGTAGGGAAAAGGCAGTAACCTGTGACTGAGATGAACTGGGGGGCTGGAAGCAGGTGTGTTGGAAGGAGCCAATGCCACAATGATTACTTCCCCTGGAAATTGCCTCCTACTTTTTATATACCACTTATTTTTGTGCCGGGCAGTACACTTTCCATATATTAGTAGGCTTTATAACTCTGTGAGGTAGGTGCACTCATTACCCCTGCTTGGTAGACCGAGGCACAGTGAGATAACTTGCTCAGGGTCACATTTTAAATGGTAGGACTGCTGGGACTCAGAGCCAGTAGCCTGGCTCCAGACCTTCCTTTTCTGTTAGTCAGTCATGGTGTACCTTTGACAGTGTGGGATTGAAAAGTTGATGCAATTAAACTGCGGTAACATTTGCATTCCTCTGTGTGTGCTTCTGTGTGTGTGACTAGAAACTGAACCCAGGGCCTCTCTATCTCTGAGCTACATCATTCTCAGCCCTTATTTTTTTTTTTTTTTTTGGTACCAGAAATCGAACTCAGGACCTTGTGCTTGCCAGGGAGGCACTTGTGCTATTGAGCTATATCCCTGCCCAGCCCTGATTGATTGATTGGTTGATTGACACAATCTCACTGAGTTATCCAGGCTGACCTCAAACTCTATCTTCCTGCCTCAGCTTCCCCAGTAGCTAGGCTTACAGTTGTGGACCATCATACCTGGATTGTTTCCCTGTCTTAAAAGGCTCAAAGCTTGGTGAGATTCTGGCCCTAGTTCTGGTGCTCACTAGTTCTGTGCCCTTGAGCAAGTTTCTAAATAGCTCTTAGACCCAGTAAAATAGGGATTAGTCGAGTGGATCTAAAGGTCTCCCCTCCTATCTCCAGGATTCTCTGAGCCATGCTGACCCCTGCTGTGGGCCATATGGCCTTTTGGTTGGTCCTGGCTTCCCTGGCTCCTTGCCATTTTCTGCTGCCCTCAAGTCTGCAGCCTGCGTCTGTCTCTCACCTGCCTGGCCCCTGCCCACCGCAGAGCTGGCTGGAGCCTCTGATGGCTCTGTTTGTCATTCTGTCTTTGTATCAACTTCCTCGTTCCAGCCATGTCCTGTGCTGGGAAGCTGGGGATCGCCCCCCAAAGTTCTCTAGGGTATGAGGTGATCCCACAGCCAGGCTAACTGGCCTTTCAGGTAGACGTTTGGGGAAAATCAAAGAAACAAAAAGCAGTAAAACATTTTGAGATAACAGAATGTTTTTACTATTACTGATTTTTTTTTTTAAGTTCTGAATGAGGCCACAGGTAGGGTGGGGTTGAATAGTCAAGTTTCTGTCCTCAGAACTTGACTTGTGTTCTCCTCTACCTTAAATTAGCCTTTGAATCTAGGGGAGGGCCTAGCTGATGGCCCTGCTCCACATTTTCCTTTTTAGCATACCCCAGACCATAGTGAGAAGAGACATAGATAACTTTTGATGTGTCTGAATATTGCCACTATGGAATTTATGCCATCCAGAGCTGCCCTTCAGGAGAGTTGAAATCCTGACATCTCCAATCAATATTCTTAATATGGCCTAGAGTTTGGGGACTTTCTTCCTTTTCTCTTAGTCTGAAAGGGGAAAGTTCAAAATGATGCTGGATCTAATCCCAACTGGAAGGAGACATTCTAGAAAACCTGCAGGTTATTGGCAGAAACTTGTATCTCTGACCTCAGTTCTTGTTGTGTCTTGGGTGCTATCCAGCCCTCCTTGCTACTTTAAGGTGCTACTGTTGGTGCTGCTAAGCTTGGTGATTCTGTCCTGCTTGTCTTACATGCAGATGTTTTTGAGGCTTACTGAGCACCCTCTGGAAGTGCAATCTGGGCTCTGTGTTAAGCACAGTAGCTTGCTAGTCTGTGTTATTGTGGTGGTGATGGGGTGGGCAGTGCTTTATGGCCCCTGTAGGATGCACCACCAACAGCATGTTAGCTGACTTGGTGTCTCTCCAGGGAGCTGCCAATGTGGTCATATTGCAGAGAGGAATTAAAGAGGAAAAAAAAGAAGGAAAACATTCTGGCACAGCTATTCATTTTTCCATTTTCTAAAAGCTGGCACATCTAAATGTTTTCTTATTTATTAGGAGACATTACAGTCCATCATCTTTGGTTGAGAAAGCCATACAATACATTCCAAATTAAGACCTTAATGCTCAACCCAGAGGCTGGTGCATGGTGGAGAGTTAGTCATTTTGGGACCCTTGAGGGAGCAAATAATTTGTGCCTATTGCTCTGGAATACGAGACATTCCTACCTGTGATCTTCTTTTTTAGCACTTTAGCAGCATTCGGGGGAGTATTTACCATGTTTCTGATACTGTGGGAGATTACTAAGGCATTAGGAAAAGGAGTCCAGGAATTAGGAAATGGAATCAGTCATAACTCAATAGATCATGCATAGGTACTTTTAAAGAGTGAATGAATTATTAGATTGCTATGCAGACAGGGCTGTCAGAATTACAGGATAAAGCTGAGGCCAGCCAGGCATGGTGTGCATGCCTGTAATACCAACACTCAGGAGGCTGAGGCAGGAGGAGTGTTGCAAGTTCGAGACCAGCCTGGGCTACAAAGTGAGCTCAAGGCCCGTGTGAACTGCATAGTGAGACCCTGTCTCAAAAACACACAAAACACACACACACACACACACACAAAAAAAAAAAAAAAACAAAAAAAAACAGAAGTGAAGCCAGCGGCCATTATTATGGAGAAGCTCCACGGAGCGGGTGCCTGGAGAGTATAGAGCCAGGAGCAGAAAGACATCTGAGCTGTGAAAATGACCAGTGCAGGTTCTCAAAGGCAGGAGTAGAATGTGTTCTGGTCTGTGCTCCATTTGGGGATTAGCTTGATTTAAACTGGAAAAGTAACAGGCACCTCAGGGGATGTGGGTATTGCGTTCAGGGAGGGGAGCAGGTAGAAAAGAAGAACTTGAGCAAAGTCACCATGAGAGGTGTTGGCAGCATTGCCAGTGCCAGCAGAGCAGCTCAGAGCCCCGCACACATGGCTGGTGAGGACTGCTGGGGCTTATAGGAAGCAAGCCTGCTAAATTAAGGGGATAAGTCAAGCCATAATCCTATTTTTGGTTGTTTCTGACAAGGAATACAGCTCACAAAACAATTACTGATGTTCCCCTTAGGTGGTTTATCAGAGCATTTCTTCAAAGGACTATCACCTGATAAGAGATAGATATATATTAGAGGAAGGATGGGGAATTTTAGTTGGTTTTCTCCGGAAACAAGGCTTTTACAATCATGTGGATTATTCATTGGAGTCCCATTCTAATAACCATTTATCCTACAAGTAAGTTTCATCCTCAATATCAGTGTGAGTCCCAGAAAGCTTAGTATGGTACTTGGCATATAGTAGCTGGGGAAGGTGCCACTGTTAGCACTTTCTGGAATCTCATAATGGCAGTGAGGTGGTTTATGCTGCCCAGTGGACACCCCAGGATCCCAGATGCCAGCCTTGAGTTAATTTACACCTCAGGTGTAAAGGTAGTTGGCATACAGACCGGACACCAGTCCTAAGACACGACAGCGGTAAGGCTAACTCCGTGTTGACTCCATTGTGTTCCTTTGAGGCAGTGGACCTGAAAACAAGTGTGAGAGCTGAGCGTGTGAGAGAGTTCTAATGACTTCTCTGCATGTCTGCTCAGGTATTCTTTGCCTTTAAACATGACTATTCAATATGTGCACGCATTGCCTTCATTACTTTAAGTATTTGTCCTGCAGTTATTTCTGATTTTTTGATTCTTTGAATTTCTTCTGAAGGCTGTGTTCTCCAGAGAGATGAGGACGTATTTGGACCCAGGAGTGCTGCTGCCTACAGCACAGGGCACCCTGTGTCACATCTTTGTCAGGGACTCTCAGTGAGCCACATGTCCTCTGAGGCCAGCCACTGGTGTGTGACGCCCTGTTTAATAGGATGAGTGTCTTTCTCGCCCCACATGACTGTAAGGACCATGTCTGCTTTTGCTTATCCTGGTATGAAGGAACTTGAATCTTTGAAAGACTGGCCTGATTTGTCTTTAGAAAACATCTGTGAGAAAGATGTATATTATATACTATACATATAAGATCATGTATAATGTGTATATGCACTACATATATGAAATACATATGTGAAGTTGTGGATGGACCCTAACTCATAAATGGGGAAGAAGTTATGGGTGGGTCCTTACCATTTCTGTACTTATCCATATTATGTTCTTTTTGTTACCAAAATATTTCACGAAGACTTTCTTATGACTTCATTTCTAAGACAAAAGTTTGTATTGTAGAGTTGAAGAAAATAGAATCCACACATGAAATAGAAGGGATGAAATCTCCAGCACCAAAAAAAAGGTTTTCATTTTCTTCTTGTGCCTTTTTTCAATTTTTCCCTTGGCAGCTTGTGTGTAAGTCAAGCGATCCATGGGTTCTCATTATTGTCTCTTTCCTCCCTCCACCCCTTCCTCCCCTTGTGGCATCTGCTCCCTTCCTGGGCTTCATCCTCGCATGGGGCTCACATTCCCCATGTAGAGAATCAGACTTCTTAGTCCCAGGGCTTGCTTCAAGTGCCTTGTGGCTGGGTTGTCCGGACCGCAGACCTTCTGCTTGTCATCACTGTTCTGGAAGCAGCCAGCTCTGAGCCACGTCCCAGGGCAGGGCTGTGGTGCTGCTCCCTGTACCGTGGGCCTCTTGCCTGTCTGTCTAGTTCCCAACCAGGGTTTATCCTGTGCCCTGTGCCGGGCAGAACAGGGGGCACATAAACCCTGGATGCAGCCTCTTGGTCCTGTAGCTCCTCATTCAGCTGTGGAGGCACAAAGAGAGACAGCAGTGAACATCTAAGAGTTGACTGTTAGAGACCAAAAAAAAAAAAAAAAAAAAGCTGATACTTAAGGGAGCATGCTGAGGTACTTAGGCAGAGGTGCTTTTGCAGGAAGGTCATACAGCTGAGAGCTTCCTTTGCACCTGTTTGTGCCCCACCCTTGTCTCCTCTCTGCGTGTACATGCATTTTCAAAGGCATTAGTGCCATGTCTAGATTTTGTAAGATGTAGGGCACCCACAGAGTTGGCTTGTGCAAGCCCCCAGAAGAACTGTTAATAAAATTAGTGTGGTTAAATTTGGAGTTTGGAGTATTGAGGTTGTGTCATTTCCTCAGGTGCTAGGAACTGGTCTCCTGATTGTGGTCTGTGTCGTAAATGCTCCAAACAACGCACTTCACTTCCTGTGATGAGCTTGGCAGAGAGGTTTTTTTGCAAATGTATTAATAACAGGTTGTTTCCGAAATTAATGAGATAAGTAACTCCAATGAGCCCACCTGGATGACATCCAAAGGTCAATTCTGATTTTAGAGTTGGAGAAGCTGATTGAGATAGGAGTGTCACGACCCTCACATAGCAGATTGGTAGCTGGGCTAGGCGTGCAGTGATGAGCAGGGAGAGGCCTGTGTCTTCCAGGTGCTCACAGCCCCGCCAGGGGGGCAGACAGGCAGTCGTGGGTGAGCAGCCCTCTGCAGGCACCTTCTGAACTCAACCTGGCTGGAGGCTGAGGCCGGACGAGGACCAGAACGGCTTCAGCAGTGTGGGCGCATTTGAGCTCATTAAGTCCTGAACATCAGTAGGTTTTTGTCTGGCAGAGAAAGGGTAGGTGATTTGTTTTAAGCTGAGGGCAGAGCTCAAGGAAAAGAGACATACCAACTTATAAGATCATGTTGGTTTTTAATGAATGCGAAAAGCTGTTTTTGCAGCTGGAACGGAAGGTTGAGCTGTTGGGTCTTTATGGGAAAAAGGCTGAGGCTGGAGAATATTCTGTATGATGGTGAAGAGGCTCATGTTTTACCTGAAGGAGTTGAACCTGATGTTATAGTTGAAATTACCTGTTTTTTCCTGGTAATACCTTCCCTAAAATGCTTCTCACTTTCTTATGTACTCCACGTTTTAAAGGATTTTCATCTTGATGGGTGACTCCGCTTCCTCCACCTCTGCTAGGGAAGTGGCCACTGCTCCATAGTCATTGACACTGATACTTGGCTGACAGTTGGCTCATCAACTTCACGTGATGATGGGTTTCTGCATGCAGTAGGCCCGCAGTAAAGAGTTGTTGAATGGAACCGTTTTTGTTCCTCCAGATTGATGCAGTTAATCTTTCCTTAAAGGACGTGTGAACCCAGAGGCTTTTCCTGTTCAATTCCCTGCAAGCCAGACTCTTACTCTTCATGTTTGCTGAGCCTCGGTGGAGAGGCTGAGCGTAGACAGCGCCTGCCAGAATCTGCCAAGGACTGTCAGTGTCAAGGGTGGGCATCAGGTATTGTTGGATAGAGGGGTGGACAAATGAAAGGAAGAGTGGAAAATGGGTATAGGAACTAGCAACAAGATGGTAGAGAGCACAGGGTAGGGTGAGGGAGAGGATTTCAGCAGTATTTATCTCGGGTGCCTTTCAGGTCCATGTGTACCCTTAACCTCAGTCTGCATCCCCCATTCTCGTGAAACCAGAGGCTCAAAGGAGGACCAGGTGTTCACACAGATCTTGGCAGACGTCATCGGCCGCTTTGTACATCACAAGGATTAAAAATGGCTAAGTAGTGAGGGATGTTTGGGCAGTGCTTGGGCCTCTAGCAGCTGCTGATTTTATAGAATGCTCTAAAATAATCCTGTGGGTAGATTGTGTCTCATCTCTTTGTGTCTGTGGTCCTTGGACAGAGAATTGTTTAAATCATTTCATGTTTATTGGGTTATTTTGGTTATTCATCAGTACAGTTTGCCTTGAAATGGTTTTTGCATTATTTCTTTTATTATCACTTGGTCACATCATTTCTCGGAACCTCAGTTTCCTTATTTAATCCTCTCAAGGTTGGGTATTAAATCATGTGAGCGGCATTTGCGGACTATAAAGCAATGCTGTAAATGTAAGGTGGTTTTTATCAATTACTGAGTCTTAGGGGCATAGCTGTCTACTTAATACTTGTTTTACTGTATTAGTTTGTGTTCCATCAGGGAAACGGAGCCATTATAAATATTATGGAATAGTCATTTATTAGAGAAATTAGACTTTACACATTTATGGGAGGAGCTGGAAAAGGTGAAGGTGTGGAAAGGAGAGGAGGTAGATCAGGGAAAAGTCACCGGTTGACCCTCCCGAAGTGAAGGTGAGTGGACAGACTGAGGCCTGCAGAAGAATCTGGAAACGAGGTAGAGTGGGACATCAGAGGTAGGACTGGTGTAGCGGTCCGAAAAAGGGTAATGGCCTTGTCACCTACCTCTGCGTTTGCAGCCAGGCATCTGATGGTCTTAGGGTCATTTTGGGTCACAAGAATAGCATTTAGGAAGAAACAGGAGCAGAAAGAGCAAGGACAAATTGCCGCTGGCCTCTGCGTCTGTCTGTTGCCACCCTTAATTTGAAGACACCAAAGCAGAGTGGCTGCTGCTTTACTTCCACCTCCCAAATCTCATGTGACGTTCTATTTTATCCCACTCTAACCTGGACTTGCGAAGAGAAAATGATTTTTAGAAGTGTAGTTTAGCCAAATTGACGTAGTACAAAACCCTACATGGTCGTAAAGTAGAATTACAGATTTTGCATGGCTCTGGCCTCCCAGGAGTTTTCAAAGACTACAGAACTGGGACTGGTGTGTTATATGATCTAGTGCTTTACTGGTAAGGTCATTTAGTTAATGATCCTGTCAGTATGTGTGTGTGTGGTACTGGGGGTTGCATGTGGTCAGCTAGACAGATACTCTTATCACTGAGCTACATCCCTTGCCCTTTTTATTTTGAGACAGCATCTCGCTAAGTTGCCAAGGCTGGCCTTGAACTTGGGATCTTCCTGCCTCAACCTCCCAAGTAGTTGGGATTATAGGTGTGCATCCCCCAGGCCAAACCTTTAATCTAGTCTTTGAGAAGTGACTTGCATTTTTGCTCCTCGGTTGCTTGTAGCACTGCCTCTCAGTATTGCCACATTTGTCTGAGGTGCGGGGTGGTTGTCTTGGTAGCAGAAGGCAAGTAGAGTTACACTGACTGCAAAGAGTTCACCAGTTTTGAGGCAGTATAAAGTGTCCTTCCTGTCACCTCCTTTCTCTCTTGAAGATTTCTTGATATAAATGACTACAGATAACAGTAAAGCTGGAAAGTGATGTAAATGATAAGAAAGAACAAGGCTTCGTTCTCTGGGCCACCTCTCTTCAGCCCTACAGCTTGTCATTTGCAGCCTGTCAGTCACTCTGCCCAGCTAGCAAGGCAGAGAGCGCCTTCTGTGGTAATCTGAACCCCAGAGGAAAAGAGCAGCCTGTGAGATGTCCTGGCCACATCAGGACCTAGGCATCATTCTCAGTTCTTTCACCTGTTTGATTGTCAATTGTAGTATTTCCCTCTGACACAACTTGTTCAAATTCCCTTGTGTCTGTCAAATCTGTCCTTCATCTTTAGTGTGACCCTTCCGATCCTGAACACTCCCTTTTTCTCTAGACCATCCTTACCTCACCTGGCTCCTACTCCCAGGTGGACTCTGCTGGTCACCATTCACTAGTGATCTTGTGTACCTCCCAGGACCCTGTGTCATGTCTCCTGGCCAGTTCTCATATTGTATCTGAGTAATCTCACCCTCTGAGGTCTGTACGCCTTGAGCATTATAGTGCTGCTGGGGAAAATCTTGAAGTCTGCCCTCCTGAATTTCTGACACTCATCACCTGTTTGTGTTCCAGGCTTCCTTTGTGCGCATTTTGTCATGCTTTTCCTTTTCCCTCTGCCCCTTATGCTACACCTTTTCCATGATCTTCAGCACCTGCGTGCCCTTCTGCTACTTTATTGAGAGACCAGTTAAGGGTTTCTCAGCCTTAGTGCCTCAAAACTTTTCTATATTTGTGGCTATCCTTTTCTTTTGTCTTTGGTTCCTTTTGTCTTCCAATACTCTATCCCTTTGACTCCAAGCAACCTGAAATACCACTTATGTGCTGATGACTCTGCGATGAATTTATCCTGCACGGACCTCCCTCAAGCTCTAGACTTACAATTCGACTGCCAAATTGGTGTCTAATAGACATGGTTTAAAGGACCAGAAAGGAACTCTGGCTTTAGCCTCATATAAATTTGATTCTCCCAGTTACTTTACTATCTCTGTAAATGCATCATCGTGTACTGAGAACATAAACCAGAAGCATTGCTCATCTCTGATTGCCTTCTTCATTGTCTGGGCTTTCACTTACGTGCAAGATACACAAGATATGTTTTGAAGCTGACCGTTGCAGAGCATCCCCACCTCCACTGTCTGAGACTGGGTGCCTATCATCATTTGCTTGGTTACTGTACCCTCTGCTTACTGATGGCCTTGCTTCTAAATTGACCCCATTATAATCCATCCTCCACACAGCAACCAGGCTGAACTTTTTACAAATAAAGCAGGCTATCGTATTTCCTAGATTTGTTGTTTGTTTGCTCTTTGAGACTGGACCTTGCTTTGTGGTGCAGGCTGGCCTTGAACTCACTATGTGACTTCCAGGCTCCCCTCGAATTCACAGAGATACTCCGACCTCAGCCCTCCCTGTGCTGGGATTACAGGCATGTGCCACCACACCCAGCTTTATTTCCTAGTTTAGGTACTCCCATTTCAAACAGACTCCAAAGCCCCTACTCATTCATTTTAATCTAGTGATGCTAATCCTTTCTCCCTCCATCCCTTGAACCCATCAAGTTTGCTTATCATAGTTTTTATGAAGTATGATGAAAAATATGGTAAATATCTAAATCTTTAAAAATTTATTATAGTAAAAGACACAATGCCATTAATACCCCTCAGAATACCCATTCTCACTTTGA